TCATAACCAGTAAACCATAACCTTGTCTTAGACACCCCATTTGACCCCCTTTATACAAGATTTGGGTGCCACTACAGGACCTTGGTTGCAACAATGATTATATCAATAACGTCACACCTGGGGCCCAGAATTGCTGTCGGCGGGCCTGACCACTCTTATCTCCATTAAATCCTCGCCGTTCACAGCTCCCTCCTCTCCCAGTTCTCCTCCTGCCTCTCTAATCACTCTTGGTGTCTGTTCTGTTGGGTCGGTCTCTTCCTGTCTCCCTCTTTCACAGCACATCCCCCAAAGCTCAGTGCTTGTCCCTAGTGGTTCTTATGGACACTCGCGGCATCAGATACCACCTCTATGCCAGTGACTCTCAAACTCTTGCTCTGCTAAAGACTGTTCCCGGGCATCCCATCCCACATCTCAGCCTGTCTGACATCTCCTCCTTGTCGATGTCCAGAGGGCACTTAAACTCAAAGCTCTTCTGTCCCCCTCACAGCCCACCCCACTTCCTAGTTTCTTCATCTTTTTGGATAACACCACGAGCCCTCCCTAAGGCAGGGAGCTGTGACAGCTCTCCCTGCCTCCCATCCCCACTGGCAGCGATGGCTCCAGGCACCAGCGCTCCAAGCGCATGCCTGGGGCGGCAAGCCGCGGGGAACGCCCTGCCGGTACCTGCGAGGGCGGCAGTCAGGCTGCCTTCGGTGGCATGCCTGCGGAAGGTCCACTGGTCCTGCGGATTCGGCAGCAATTCGGTGGCGGGTACACCGAAGCTGCGGGACCAGCGAACCTCCCGCAGGCATGCTGCCGAATCCGCAGGACCGGGGACCTCCCGCAGGCAGGCCGCCAAAGGCAGCCTGCCTGCCGTACTTGGGGTGGCAAAAAAGCTAGAGCTGCCCCTGCCCACTGGGCTGCCCCAAGCTAGGTACCAGGATCTCTGCCCCTTCTGTGGGCCAGGGATTGTGGTCCTGAGGTGGGGTGTGAGGCTTGAGCTGGCTGCAGGGAGCCCAGAACAGAATGGGATGCCTGGGGTCTGGGCCCTGCTCGAGGTGTCTCCTTATCGGAGGGGCCGGGGAGTATTTCCCCTGCCCTGGCTGGGAGAATCACTCCATGATATAGGCCCAGGTCAGGGGGTGGGGTGGGGGGAGAAAAAAACTGTCCTGTATTTTTGAAATACAGTGTTGGCCACCCTAACAACATCTCAATCAGCCCAGTCAATCTAGACATTGTCTCTGACTCAGCCTCTCTCTAGACCCCCATGTCCTGACCTCTCCCCAGTCTCCCTGCTCCTGCGTGTATAACACGTCACAGATACAGCCTCTTGTGTGTGTCCCGACAGCCCAGGCTCTCATTCACCCCATCATCTCACACCTCCACTGCTGTGATCTCCTCCTGCCCGGCCTTGAGGCCAGCTGCTTTGTCTCCTCAGCTCCATCCAAAGCACGGCTGCTGGGCTCAGCCCTCAGGCTCATCTCTCCTGCCACATCCACCACTTAGTTCCACTGAGGCCCCCTCCAGCACCGCTCCAGCACAAGCTCCTTGCCTTTGCCTTTAGGCCCCTCAACTCATCATTGAGTCCCACCCTGTCTGAGCGATTGGCGCCGCCTTCCCTCTGCCAGCAATGGCCGGTTCCAGGGGTGGGCACGCAGGGCTGGTTACAGAGGTGGGCACGTGGGGCCCATTCTAGGGGTGGGCGCGCAGGGCCACGTCAGCACCACTTCCAGGGGGAACTGTACTGCCACTGGGTTTTTTACTTATTTTTCTCCTGGCAGCTTGGGTAGGGTGACCAGATAGTAAGTGTGAAAAATCTGGACACTTTTTTTGTGTGTGTGTGGGGGGGATAGTTGCATTTATAAGACAAAATCCCTAATATTGGGACAGTCCTGATAAGATTGGGGTGTCTGGTCACCCGCAGCCTGGGTCAGCCACCTGTCTGCTTCTCCCTTAAACACCTCAGTGTTTTCTCCCCTTCCCTCTCCATGTACAGAAAAACACCCCATTAGTATTAGTAAAGCTGCCCCCTTCTCTCTTCAATCTCTCCTCCAAACCCAGCTGTGCTGTGGCCCCTGGAATCTCTCCTGGCTGGGCATGTGGTGGGCCAGGCCCTGAGTGTGTGTGTACAGGACCTAGCGTGATCGGCCGTGGCCCTGAGTGTGTGTGTACAGGACCTAGCACCATGGGGCCTGGCATGCTCTGTGCATACAGGACC